TTGGGTCTATCTTTTAGTCAGAATTCTAAAGTAAAACAAACAATTATAGACCTAATTACTAATTTAATTTGAGTTATTTATAAGACATATACCATCTAATGCAATAAACTATATATATGCCAGATGTGACAGCTCTACATTCTCTTCAAAATGAGCTAACTGCTTTATTTGTCCTAGATTCCTAATGTCTTATAATGTAATAGTCATCTTTTGTGTGTTTAGTTGGGTTTAAGTTTTCTTTGTTTCCAAAGTTCAGATCATTTGGTTGTATGTGTGCGAGTGGCACATGTCAGTGTGGCCCCAGCTGTTGTAGTCAATACCAATGAGATTATACCTCAGAGGCAACCTGAGAGTCTCCCGTCGGTATCTCTGTCCATGTAATATTAATCTGCTCTAATCCTTTTAGAGATAATCCAAATCTCAGACCCCTCCTTAGTCTGTGTCTGTGCCATGTCTTCACCTCTCATATGTTTCTCAGATGTTGGACATCTTTGAGGTCTTTGTGAGAGAGAATAACTACTCATACCTGAAGATGGATGGCACTACCACTATAGCGTCCCGGCAGCCCCTCATCGCACGCTACAACGAGGTAAGGATTAGTCCCTCCTAATGGCTCTGTTTCCTTTGAAAGTCCCCTCCTGAGGCAAGCTGTAGTGATACTCCACTCATCCCAGGGTGGGGGCACCAATGTTGACAATCCGTTAAACTGGGACCACTCATTTTTTATGGCAGTAGGTCAATAAAGTACATCTGGCTATATGTGAGAACTTAATTTTTAACCCAAAGACAAAGTCATGTGTTTTGGTTATACATTACATTATTTTGGAGGATTTTATAACACAATTTATAAATGCTTCTTTCTCCCTTATTTCACTTTCAGGATAAATCAATTTTTATTTTCTTGTTGACCACAAAAGTTGGAGGCCTGGGAGTCAATCTGACAGGAGCCAACAGGGTCATCATTTATGATCCAGACTGGAATCCCAGCACTGACACACAGGTCTGTTCCGGCTCCAATAAAGCATATTATGAATAAATGTACAGTTATGTTTTTTATTTATTTCAGAAAAAATAAGTTGTATTGCTGTTAATGTGTCTCAGATGTTGTATTATAATAACCAAATACATTGTCATAGGCACGTGAGCGGGCATGGAGGATTGGTCAGAAACAGCAAGTAACTATTTACAGGTTGCTGACTGCTGGAACCATTGAGGAGAAAATCTACCACAGGTCAGACTGCATTTCACATTGTTTATTTACACATTAAAGCAAATTATATAATCAAATAAAAGCATAATTATTTCTTCTCAATCTTTTGTTTTCTCTTGCATTGTTTATTGCTATTGATTTCACACACTGATGTATAGTCCATAGCTAATAATTGCCGAATATTCTCTAGCCCTGTAATTGAAAAGCTTTCTGTGTTTTATTAAATGACCGCTCTAGGAGCCCTAAAATTATGTTTTGTTGATTTTAGGTCTATACCCAAATTTCAAAAGGCAAAAACAAAACACTGTATAGCTTAACCTATAATATGAAAGTTGACTAATTTTCTCTTCAATCACTTTAAGTATTCTCCTGTGACAGGGGATTGGGGATTCCTGCTGAGCCAAAATAAAATACAATCATCCAATTATGTTCTTTGTGTTTTTAATGCAGGCAAATCTTCAAGCAGTTCCTAACTAACCGCGTGCTGAAAGACCCTAAACAAAGACGCTTTTTCAAGTCCAATGACATCTATGAGCTATTCACACTGTCAGACCCTACTGGTGCTCAGGGAACAGAAACTAGTGCCATTTTTGCTGGTGCGTTTTTACATAATTGTTATAATATTTAGTTTTGTGGTTAAAGGATAAAGTAACTTTCCTGTGTTTTTACATTATAGGCACTGGCTCAGATGTCAAGGCACCAACGAAAGCCTCAAAACAAAGTGCTAATTTAGAGAGTCAAATAAGGACACAACATTCAGTAAATGCAAACTTGTCAAAAAATGCACTACACAATAAAGAATCTCACAACTTGTCTCACAACAGCCAATGTGGAGACTCAGTATTGAGCAGTCCACAGAAACATAAGGCAAAAAGAAAACACTGTAACACAAAAGACAGCAAGAGACACAGTGAAAAGAAACAGAAACACTCCAAAGACGCACGCTTCGAAGGACACCGGATTTCTCACCTGGTGAAAAAAAGAGACTACAAGAAGGCCGATGGTGAAGATGAACAAGACAACCAGGGGAAATCTGATGATTATGTTCTGGCAAAGCTATTCAAGAAATCAGGTGAGTTTTGAAGATGTCTAACATCTGTCAACATCTCTGTTGACTGTCAGCTCTTTGTCATAGGTATTCACAGTGTGATGCAACATGACACCATCATGGAGTCCTCCAACCCTGACTACGTTCTGGTGGAAGCTGAGGCCAACAGAGTCGCCAAAGACGCTTTAAAAGCCCTTAAAGTTTCTCGTCAGCAGTGCAGGCTCTCCTACAACTCCACTCCTCCAAAAAAGTGTGATTTTCTGTTTTAAAATAAATTTTGTTGTTTTGTTTCTTTATTTATACATTTATGTTTTCAATCTAGAAAAAGATTTGGACAGAAGAAAAATTCTCTTCTAGTTGGGCCGACTGTTCAGTCCGTCCCCACTACAAGCAAGTGCAAGGTAATGACATATAGTACTTCTGTGTTGTTTTGCATACTGGTATTAAATGCATTAATGTGCATTTTTAGGATGCTGCAATCGTAAAGAAGTTGAAAAAGCCAGGTTCTGGAGCACACTTCAGTGGAGAGGCTGACAATGATGGTGCATCTGCCACTCTCTCCTCCTCCTCCCTGTTGGCCAAGATGAGAGCTCGCAATCACATTAGTGTCCCCTCTGGTCAAAGAGACGAAGAAGAGGAAGAGGAAGCTGATGCACAGCAAACCAGCGGACCACCAGCTCAACACACTGAGCACGACGAGCTGTTAGTTGATCTGCGTAACTTTATAGCCTTCCAGGCCCATGTAGACGGACAAGCTAGTACTCAGGAACTGCTAGAGTATTTTAAACCACGACTGACTCAGGCACAGGCTCCTGTTTTCAGAGAGCTGCTCCGAAGCATCTGTGACTTCCACCGAACAGTTGGTCAGGAGGGGCTCTGGAAACTCAAGCCACACTTTCGCTAATGAAAGTGCTACTTATTGTTTGTATATAACAAAAAAAAAAATCTCTTTTTCTATACTTTCATGTTAACAGCATTGTTTTTTCATCATGAAGAAGGGGTTTGTATCAGATGTAGTGTGGCATATCCACATTAATACTGTTCTTTTTGTGTCTGGCCATACTTGAAATGAAATATTGTTTTTCATAAACACTGATTTGAGTAGTTCTATACTCACTACTTTAATTTTAACATAAATGCCTCAATTTGGCCATATTTTACTATGTGGTTTTCAGCGTTGTTCATGAAACTTGTCTGTCATAGATAGAAATATAAGGTGATGTTATTTAAGTGGCTGTTGAAGTGTCACAACAAGAGGAATTTGGAATGTGATATTTTGCAATAAACTATTCAGAGTTTTTGCGTTGATGTAGTGATTTTGTTTACTGTAAATTACTAAAAAACTGTGAGGAAAGAAGTCTTAAAACAAAAGGCTAGGTGGTGTTAAAGTGATGCTGACCACAGTCAGCTGCCCAACTTTGTTCATTCACGATTTGGTTTACTTCACAAGACAATGGAGAAGGCGCGGACTGTGCGCTTCAGGCCTGCATTGTCAGAGCTGTCTAGACCAAATATTAGGATAAAGTTATCAACCGTTATTTGATTTCAATTTTCTACACGTACCTCACCGAGGTCATAATAACAACTTTATTTTCAGTGGTGCATAAATTAATTACGCGCATTTAATAACTAAAATATCATTATATTCCCCCTTTAATAACATAAACGCTGCACGCCAGGGAAAGCCTTAATAGCGCGGGGCCCTGTAACTGGCCATTATACGCCTGTAATGATATTACAGAACCAATTACGCGCCATTAGAAGGGATTTTCTGCACTTTATGTGGTTTAGTCCAATCCCACACTCCTCTTCTAAATTTCAGCAGCTTCTCGCAGCCTCATTTTGCCTTCACCTTAGAGACGCATGGCGTCTGCGCTCTGTCGTCCCAGATGCGCTTTAAAACTAATTGAAAGGGTCCCGTAGCACATCATTTATCTGAGGAAGCGAAATAAATCGCGGGACCCCTTGCTGTGAACAAAATCAAAAATTTGGCCTTGTGAGTGTTCTACATACGCAAGCTCCTGTAAAGCGGAGCCCTAACACACCCTGACGAGCCATTAACGCGCCCGACAGTCAATCTAAAACCCAAAAGAAGTCATCTAGCTTTTTTTAATATATGAAAGAACCAAATAAAAAGTGCACCGGCCTAGCGCGTGTGTTTATGGTCAGGGAATATGCCTGACTCTGGAATAACAATCACTTGTGATGAATATTGTTGTACCAAAGCTGAAGTAGAGCAGCCGCCCGCCACCCGGGTGCACTTCCCCTTCCTCTGTCTTTCCTACTCTCGCGCACAAGCACTGGCCGAGGGTTCGGGGTGAGACAAAGCCTTGATAATCCGATTAAGACCAATTAGGCATGAGATTGTTTCACGCTCGCTGAAAGCCTTAACACTGTGTAGACAGTTATACAGTTATGGAGACATCTGGACACCCCAGAGAGAGTGACATCCGAGTGTGTGTGTGGGTGCGTGTGAGGGGGTAAAAGGCTGTGGACCCTCCCATACACAAACGCGCGCGCGCGCAGTGAGAGGAAGAAGTGCAGCATCCGCTCCACATCAACAGCATCCTCCCATCCCGCTCTCTCACACACGCGGTGTGTGGGACGACAGTCAGGAGTAACACTTCAACTTGAGTCCTCCACAGAACCTGACGTCTTTAGCGCGCTCTTCTTTGGCACCGCGCGCTCTTCTTTGGCACCGCGCGCTCTGAAGCTCTCGTTCAAACTTTTCCACGCGCCAGGATGTTTTACTTCCACTGTCCGCCGCAGCTGGATGGAGAATGCTGCCGCACTAACACGAGTAAGAGCAATCTTTTTTATTACTGTTAATGTTTGTTCACTTGAAAAATAAAGCCAAAGAAAAATAATTTTCCGCCTTACTTTTTACACCTTCTTTTAGAACAGTAGCAAAGGGTATAGACTGTAAAATTTCAATCCATCTCTCACTCTCTATATATTAAAGATAAAAAAAGACAAGTAAAAATGCTTAGATAATTTATTTAATGTCTAAATATAACTGCCAGTCTCATTTTAAAAATCAGCGCATGTTCTGCAATCATTTCTCGTGTCACTGTGTGTGTTTTTACTGGCTCAAACCCACACTGCCCAAGGGCGCAGGGGCTGCACGGGGCGCAGCGGGTTGGTGGTCCCGGCCAGCTCGCACAGATGTCGAAAGTCACAGCTCCTATTTAACCACACTTTCCCTTGGACTCAGAGTGTGTGTCTAATTCCAAAGATAAGTTATCACGGTTCAGTCCAACTGTGTCACATATGAGGGAGCAATCTCGTGCTAAATTATTTAAATTCGCAGATCTTTAATCTGAAAAGTCACTTGTAGTCTATATGAATAACACTATTTTGTTTTTTGTTTTTTTAGTAAATTCAAGTGGCTTTGGGAACCACCCACCGACAGACTTTGATGACGGATTTTTACGCAGAAAACAACGTAGAAACAGAACTACATTTACTCTGCAACAGGTAAGTTACGAAAGAAGCTAAAGAAAAATATATAAGACATTAAAATTCAGAACAACCAAATTATTGAATTATCTGAAGGCCTTAAATTCATTTAAAAGTTAAACAGCAGCAGGCCTACCCTCAAAAATTTTCGATGGACAAAATGGTCCAATGACCTTTTAATTTTTAGACCCGAGTTAGAAACATATTTCACATGAGGTTTTCAAAAGAGACAAATGTTTTATTTACTTTAGATTATAAGTAAATGACTCCAGAACAGCAGTGGGATGCACACTGCTCTGCAGAAATAGTAAGCAAACGTGCAATAGATGAACCATTTGCAGTTAGGTTTTTGAGGAATGTTTTGTTGCACTTGCAGCTTGAGGCTCTGGAGGCCGTCTTCGCGCAGACACACTACCCGGACGTGTTCACGCGAGAGGAGCTGGCCATGAAGATCAACCTGACCGAGGCCAGAGTGCAGGTAAAAACAGGAATGGAGCGCAGTGGCGCGCAGTGCGTCCCAGACACGTGTATCCACGTGCGAGACAGAGGGTAAATTAAGCCACTCTGTCATTCTGGCGATACACTTTAATAACATCAACATAATGGTGAATATTAGATTAGCTTGATTAATCGGTCATTCATAATTAAGCAGCGATAATGTTCCTCGCTAATTTGTCCGCGTCTCAAAGGTAGGAATACATCATGTCCCCAAAACAGGAAAAATGAGACAAATCTGGAGTTCTTAAACACACTCAGCCTAGCAGTACACAGCCCACATATACTGTACCTTAAATTTGCCAATTTATATTCTGCTGTTGCCCTGCACAAGCGCGCGTTTATAAACTTGGCCAGATGTAATTAAGTTATGTGTCCTGTATGTAATTTCCTGCATTCCAGATTTGCTTTTGGGTTTTGTTGTGCGAGCAGATCTAATTGTGGGAAATATAATAGTTTGCCTTTTGTTCCCCAGGGTCATCTTACTATTGCTTAAACCCAATGGCGGGCTTGATAATGGAATCCAGCGCTGTAAATTAGGGATTGTAAACAAATTATTCCCCTCGTAATCCGATTACCACATTCCTATTATTAAATCTGAACATGAATCCACAGCAGTATGCAGGGATATTAAACTTACATTATTATTAGAAAATAAATTTCCTTTCTGTTGTAGTGTTGTGCCCCCCTTTTTGTAAAGTGTCAATGGGCCTCCCCCGCATTAAGAGCACAGCAAATTGAGATTAATGGAGCAATTATAGCCCATTCAGAGCAGCGTGTGTATGGGGGGGCGCGACTTCTCGCTGGAAGGTGCAAGGGTGAGATAAGTCCATAGCTGGTATTGTTGTCCTGCCACCAAAATGTTGTCTTTTCTTTATGCCGAATGAATGCACATGGTTTTGTTTCGCTGTTGACATCATTTGTACCTCTGCCACAATAGCGCAGCGCACGAGCGGCACAATTCCACTCTCCATTCACACACATCATGATTAATGCCCACAAGAAGCTGGTCCTAATCGAATCTGATGTTGTCAAACAATCACTAAATAGGGAAATAAACGACTTCATCATAGCCGGCGCTGCACAACTGTCACTGGGAAGTCATTAAAATATGATAATGAAAAATTGCTCAATTAAATGTAGTTATAGGCAGTGACCTTCATTTGATTAAGATACCACAACTTGGCTTTACATTCTCTTCTCAGTGCCTAGTTAGTTTTCTGGATAATATGGGGAAATTGCTCTGTCACAATCTAAGCTCACAGGTTTGACATCACTAACAAGACATAATTAATACAATCTGATAATTTTGTTTTCTCCTTAGGTTTGGTTTCAAAACCGCAGAGCTAAATGGAGGAAGACAGAGCGAGGGGGAGCAGATCCTGAAGGAGGTAAAGAGCCTCTGAGTGAGGGCTCTCCTCCGTCCCGCAGTATCAACTCCCAGTCCCCCGTGGACCAGGCCCGGAAGCAGAAGGAGCCGCTGGAGATGCAACAGAGGTGGGCAAACACACCAACAGGAGCACCACTGTGTGACTTTGTGTTTTTCATTTCAAAGCGCAAACAGGTTTAATGGATGAATTTGGAAGTGATTTATAATGTGGAACTGTACAAGGTCTTTAGGTCACAAAAATAAATGTCTGAAATATGTTTTTTAAATGTGTGGTTCACCAACAAGTGTGGTTGTGGCATTATTCTACTAACTTGACTACTGACTATTTAAGAAGATCCTTTATCAACCTCCTTAGACCAGTGGTTCTCAAACTGTAGTATACAAGCTTTCACACTGTATGCCAATTCTTCTGCAGTTAAAATTTCTGCTGAATTTAGGGTCAATTTAATGTACATTTCTGTCCTCTTTTGGGTTAGTTCTTGTTGATCAATAGTACAGGGATGGTGTGGTTCAGTTTTAGACCTGGTTTAGCCCCAGTTTAGACCTACTTGTTTCAAATGTGGTTTAGATTTGTTGACTTGGAAAGCAAAATAATTTTTAGGCGGTGGTGTGCTAAGTTTAAGAACCACTCCTTTGGAATATTCAAAATACAAACCATTAAACAAGACATGTATGTTTTATTTTTGTATGTTTTGTTTTCAAATGTGAGTTGTATTTTATTGTTATTTGTTTTCTATTACAGTATCAACAGGACGGTAGGGCCCGGTCCGTTCTTTCCATCATGTATACCGGGAACACTTCTCAATTCAGCCACATATGCCCAGGCTCTGTCTCAGGTCGCCACACTAAAAGGTAATTCTCCATTGTTTAAACGTATTCTAATATATGTTTATGAGCACATTTAAAGACAAAAAGTATGCAAAATATTATGAATCTCGCAGTTCAGATCTAGAATATGTTTTGATGTCAGATGTTTGTTTAAGTTCTAATCAAAGTTTGTTTTGAATGTTTAATTACAGGAAATGGTCTGTGCTCCTGCTGTGTACCAGACCCGATGGGCTTGTCCTTTCTGCCACCCTATGGTTGCCAGGGTAACCGTACCGCCAGTGTAGCTGCCCTGAGGATGAAGGCTCGGGAGCACTCCGAGGCCGTGCTGCAGTCCGCTAACCTGCTGGGGTCTGGTGTGGGCCATGGGGCTGGGGTCCTGTCCGGAGCAGGTGTAGGGGCACCCTCTCTGCCCCGGCCCGCTGTGGGACCTCCCATAGAGGTGCCCAGCAGTGTGGGGAGGGGTCCAGACAGCTCCAGTACCAGTCCTGTGTCGAAGGTGCAAGTTTTGGGCAGCCATGGAGACAAACACGGCCACTGCTCTAAAGACGCTTTGGAAAAGAAGTGAAGAACTCAAACTGTGATGATTTGTTTCTGAAAATCAAAGCACAATTGAAGGACTTGAGGAAACCACTGGAAAAAGACTTCTGAACTGGACGTACTGTATTTATGGACTCAAATGTTTATTTATCAATTAATTTAAATTGTTTGTGAGAAATATCTGGGGCTATGTCCCAAAAAAGCACAAGTGTATTTTGGATCTTTTATGCACTCTTATTCACCCATTTGAAGGACTGATTAAGATGCACCCATCTGATAATGTGAATTACTGTTTGTTTTCACTGAAGACAGCAGTTTGTTGTGAATATTATTGCATGTAACTGTATACAGCTAAATGCAGGACACTGATTATTTATTGACTATATGTGCAGTAACATTGTGCTTATGGCATCAGCTCGAGTCTGTTATGGAGTGCACTTTACTGGCTCTTGTGTGCAGTAGTTGTGTTGTGACAGATTGGTGTATATTTCTCCTCTGTTAGCATAGCGCCGGCAGACAGGGGCACACCAGTCCTGTTGTGACACGTTCTTTAAAACAATTAAAGATGTAGCCGCTCATGTTCCTCTCCTGTTGCCTCTCGCTTCAGCCATCTGTTCTGATACATTATTTATCAGCTTCCTCTAAACGCAGAGACTGGGCCAATTGTGTGACTTTTACCCTATTTATTTTCCTTAAAAACACTGATTCCTCCTTTAAACTGTAATGCTATAAATGTTAATTCAAATACATTTAAATTTAAATACATTCATTGATTAAGACTGAATTTAAGTAATCTTTTTTTTTATTCAATTCACAGTCTCCAGCTGGTCAGATCGTTAGCCGCTCAACTCACAAAGGCTAGGGGTAGTATTTGGGCTTGATTCAATTTGCGTCCTTGAGGATTTTCAGGAAATTACTTTTGATAGTCAATAATGCAATTAAGTAAACTACACACACATTATCATAAATAATAAATAGGAAATTATGTATTACCATGAAGTAGTGGATCAATAATTGATGAGGAAACACCCTAGTGACACAGAGGAGGATAATGTCATGTAAAGTCGTCCAAGATTCAGCATCCTCCCGTATACAACAAGCTCATCTTCAAAATATCCTTAAACATAAACAAAAATGGGGGAAAAAAAGTACTCAAATACAGTACACATTTAAACATTTTGTCAGTAAAAAGTTTGAAAATGTCCCCTCAAGAAATCATTTAAAATCTTCCTTCAATGAATTATTTAGTCCCATTATAATCCAGGTGTCCTATTGTATGAATGCGTTTCCCAAAATAACAAATACATCATCTGCTATAATATCATAATCTGTGTTTCAGTGCATGAAAGAGTCCTGGAGTAAAGATGTTAAGCCTTATGACATGGCAGCTAATGATAACGTAATATCCCTATACAAATTGTCTCCTGTTCCAAAAATGTACTATTATGGACAAGCAAACGCTGCCAAGTCGCACAAAAGATACAGAAAACACATTCAATCTCCTCAAAATTGAATACAGTAGTCGTGGAATTTAATCATTAGCCAAAACAAAAGAAGCTGAAGTTATAATGACTCCGATCATCATTAAGTTCTGCATGCTGCCCATAATTCACGGCTTTAATATTTCATAAACAAGTCAAGTTGGTGTTGACATTCAGCTGTGCATGTGGCATCATTGATAATTTTCTGTCACCTAAAAAAAGTCCTGAGGCAGTTTTGTGGAGCATTGTTATATCAAATTAGCTGGAGAGCAGCCAGAAAAGCAGACAAACATGGTGAATACTGGGGACAGCAGTTGAACTCTGTTCTTACAGTGCAGTTAATGGGCTTCTTTTGTTGCAGTAATGAAATATTTTTGCAGCGATGTGGGGAAATATGTCCTGAAACAGGGGCCGGAGCGCATTCACCCATTCAGAGGCAGCACAAACAAAATAGACAAGATACACAGCCGTGGTGTGACAGAGGCGGGCCCCAGGCTTCTTTACTTTGCACACTTTATGGACAGGCTTTAGCCAAACCACAGCATTCAGACTCAAAGACACAATATCATCACTGCTTTGCACAGAGTTGATCAATAACACTTTCATTTAGAATCATTCAGTAGCATTTATGAATGGAAAATAAGTGCAAACTACAAAATATATTTTATGCAACCACATTTTTCTTGTGTGCTCCACTTAAAACACAAATAAGAAAAAAATGCAACCCATCTATTTAAAACACAAACCAAACAATGTTCCCCAAATTAATTATCACAACTAATGGCATATATTATGTTTGTCCACAAGGGGGGCTAGGTGAGCCAGAAAGTCCTGCTCACCAGTAGGAACCTCCATGCAAGAACACAGTGGTCTAGCCATTCACATTAATATGATGTAGTAGACTAACATAATTATTTTTCCATCAGTTATGATTATTAAAAACTATGAAGGATTAGTATAGTTTGAGAACAAAAATATCAATCACTGATGTTAAACATAGATCTACTTTGATAGAGGAGTAAAAGTTGAGTGAGAGGTGATTCAAGAAATGTGATTCCACAGACACGGTGAGCTTTTTTCCATCTGTGTGTGGATAGTGAAGAGCCGTGTGTCTCCATTAACTGCATGTGCGTGTGTCCATCATTCAGCCAGACCAGCCCTGCACCCGCCAGCACCCTATCTGCTCCAGCAATCTCTTATTATAGCAACAGTGGCCCGGGACAGGGGAGGGACTACAGGAGGAGCAAGGGGAGGAGGTCAACACTCCCTCTGCTTTTTGGCCTTTTCTGCAACGTTTAGAATATGGCAGAAGTCTGTGAGTACAATAATTAAAATACATTTACATCACATGCATATTTGGTTGTCCAACTACAGTTTTTATGGATTGATGGTCAAGACCAAAAAATACATACAAAGATACAACACTTTTCCACACAAAAATTAAAATAAAGATAACAAGTTAAACTGTATCTAGACAAAAGACTGACCAAGTGCAGTTCATAATTATATTTTATTTAAACTGAATTTCTGCTTACTTCTTACAAGCAGATTACAGTATGCACAGTATTAAAGACTAAGTTAAGAATTTGAGAGATTTTCCATACCAGCAATCAGAGACCACTGGCCACGTGTTATTGTACATATACAGTACTTGTCAAGTCTGTGCTGTGGGCAGGATCTTAGTGGGGGGCAGTAGAATAATTTATGAACCCTGCAGGCCCAATAGCACCCCCTAACACCCTATCCCCTCCACACATACATCTCAAAGTATTTTATTTCTCAAAATCTTTTCTCTATCTTTGAACTCCAATATTGCTGACAGTTACTCTCCCATACGTAACTGTCAACGTGGTTAACTCGGTTTGTATTTAAAAATAGTGTGGTGTAAGGCTGTTTGTTTCATCTGTCGGACACCTGACACCCAGGATCTCACAGAGGCACACATGCTGGTCGCACACTCATTCTGGCCTACATGGTAGACCGCTTGCTCTGGGACGACTCCTCTATTTCTGTCCCTGATCCCTGGTCCCAAGTCTCTGCATCGGTCAAATGCTCAAACAGTGGATCCAGGACTATATTGAGGTTTTTCCATTATTGCCCCGACTGGTCAAGACTCAAAGAGAGGCTACACTGAAGACGGATTGTACTATTGGTGTTTGGATTATATGGATTTGACAGTGGGAATGTAAGTTACAACTGTCAAAGTACTGTATATGTTCTTTCTAGAATAGATGCAAATGTATTTAGTTTAAGCAAAAAACTGTTTTCAAACCTGAAAATATATTAGTAAACTTCATTCTAGTTGCTTGTAATGTGAGGTATTGTATTAGATTCCTTTAAGATTTCGGCTGATAGAATTGCTGGTTTCTCAGGTTTTGGTGATAAACGCTGTGAACCAAGGCCTATTTGGTGTCATGTTTTAGCATCTTGTCACTGGACAAAAATAAACTTGTCACATGCAGGATTGAAAAGAAATCAAAAAGCCAAGGAATTAGTGTGCAGTAAAAAGATCAGAATTTTTTCTCCTAATAGTGTACAAACACATACAAGGTGTTAAAAATTTTAGGCAGTTCAAGTCAACAAATTAATAAAAAATTTACACTTAATGTAGATTAAAAAATTTTTCATGACATTGTAAAGTAACATTTGTTTTACCTATAATCTGAGACTGTGACCAAATCAGTATAAAGGTTCAAGTTTGACTGTCAAACTTTTTACAAATGAGGTGAATGGCCTCCAGGTCAGAAGGTATTAATAAATCACTGGATATTCTGGACTAAGTGACAGCAGCTGCAGAGAATGTAACCAGGATTTAACTGTGACATTACCTTATCACCTTAAAATGTAACATTTTTAATTGGATTAAACCAAAATATTTCAGTTCCTCATTTTAAGAGTTGTTTTTTAACATACTACACAAATGCTTTCTGTATCAAAGTTCAGCTCAACAAACCACAAATACACAAATCCACATGTGAATGGATTAATAAGGTTTTTGCTGTAGAGCTGTTGTAGAGGACATGTGTGTTTGTGAGTGGCGATCTAAGATTGCACTGGTGCATCCTCTGCTCTCAAAATAACTCACGTGAGGCTGTCTTCACTGAGCCTAGCAACAGTTTGGTTTTATCCACAACATGATCGTGAAGGTCACAGTGATTGAGAATAGGGATTACAGGCTGTTCTCAAAACTGCATCAGGTACATTCAGGCTTAATACAGAAAGAAGGGATCTCTAAAAGAGGTCTACTCCCACATAAGGAGCATAATGTTTATAGATGAAATTATGTTGTTTTAAGAGTTACTGCAGTATAATATGCATATGTCAGAAGGCTTCTACAACATCTAAAGATGTAACAATAATTTCTCTTCTTTCCAGAACCCAAATACACTCCTACAGTGAGGACTAAGGAGAGGGCCACAATGCCGGGAGCTTGATCCCAGGACTGACCCCCCTCAGACACTCCTGGGTCTGAATGACCAAGTCTGAGGCCAGAGCTCTGTGCTCCAGAGAAGCTGCGTCATGGCGACAGTGGAGAAGCGCCGCTCCAGTCGGAAAAGTGGCCATCGCAAACACAATGATGGCGGCTACAGTGACACAGAGACAGATCGTGAGGTGAGCAGTCTGACGGACAGGGCCTTCAGGAGCCTATGCATTGGAGATGAGGCTGTGTACAACGACTCCGACCTGTGTGTGTCGCCCTGCGCACAGAAGGACTCAGACAGACAAGAGCTTGAAGAGGACTGCACACGAGAGTTTTAGCCTTCGAGTACAGCAATATGGACAGGACTGGATGTACAGAGGAACGTATGGAGCAGAGATTCACAAGGGTCAGCAGTGGGGGGTCTATGGGGAGACAGGGGCACCAGAGCCCCCTCAGCAGCCGTATCCCCCCAGAGAACTGTCCCTTTTTAGCAATGGGATGACAGAGGCGAGCTTGCAGCAGCAGCGCCGCAGCAATTCACGAGTCTCCTCTTTGATCAGGGCCTTTAATTCAGAGGGACAGGGGGACGAGACAGTGTATAATGATGAGACAAGCTGGGATAAGTCTGCACTAATGAGTATTGAGAGGGAGCTGTCTGAGTTCTCATCTTATCCTCAAAACATGAGCACAGGATATCTCCCCTCCACTGGAATATTCTCCTCCCAAAACACAAACTATTACTCCTCACAGGTGGCAGCCATTTCCCAAATGAACTCTGCCTCCTCTTTTATGAGATCTTCTCACAGCCTATCCACACAGGTCAACTCTAACTTCTTCATTCACAGTGAGTTTAGTCCTTTCAGAGTTTGGAGGGACCAAAACAGGTTTCCCTTCCACGGGGGTCAGGTCTCTGGCTTCATGCCCCATTCAGAGTTTCAGAAATGGTACGAGACGCCTATGTACAAAGAACTCTCATTACAGCCACAACAGCATCCCTCTATGTTTTCTCAAGGGTATCACAGGAACACATTTGCCCCTGCTATTCCCATGAATCCTCAACGCTCAACCTCTGCATCTACGACGATGCCCAGAGCTTCAGCAGTGGAGAAACGCTGTGAGTCGGAGCTTGCAGGACAATACAGGAAGCGTGCTCAGAGCATGGGTGCTAACAGGCTACCACCACAGCGGCCCTCCACTGCCTCCCCCTCCAGTGAGATGTCCAGGCGGGTGCGGGACACAATCAACTCAGTTAAATCCCTCCAGCAAAAAATCAAGATTATGGCAGAACAGAATATAGAGACTCAGAGCCAAGATGGGTTTTATAACAATGACTACTTCAACTCATATGATTCAATGGTGCCTAATACTATGAGTTCTTATCCATACACAGCCCCATATCAAATACAAAAGTCACAAGCCTACGCGCATCCTGAACCACAACAATTATTGCAGCAGCATTCAGTTTCACCACAACCAGTAGAGCACGCACCTGTCAGGGCAGAAAGCCGAGGGGCAACTCCAGACATCAAAATGTCTAACTACAAATCAAAAGCTGCTAGCCTGCTTTACAATCTAAAAGACAATAGGAAGAGAGTCAAGGCAACCTACAGTCCTAATGCATTTAAAGGTCAAGAAGCACAGGAGAAATACAAGCAGGAACCAAAAGACTTTATTATAGATGTTCCAGAATGTTCTTCTAATGAACTTTTCAATTCACAGGATGATAGAGGTAATAGGTTAAATGTTCAACAGTATGGATACCAAGCACATAGTCCAGGAATGCACACACAGAACTCTCAACCTGTTTTTGAAAATCCCATAGACATGGGTAAATTAAATGTTCCACAATATGGGTACCAGGCTTATAATTCAGGATTACTACAGAATTCTCAATACCTGCAGAATTCTCAACCAGACTTTGTAAATCCTGTAGAAAACAGTACCAACAAATTAAATGTTCCACAATATGGATACCAGGCCCGCAGTCCAGGAATGCTACAGAATTCCCAACACATGCAAAACTCCCAATACAAATTTGTAAATCCTATGGAAGACAGAGGAAACAGATTAGATGTGGGTCAATATGGATACCAGCCTCATAGTCCAGGGATGCAGCAGAATATCCAATTCTCACAATTTCCTCAAAGCACACAGAATTCCCAACAGCTCTATTCGGGACAAAATTCCAGTGAATACTATAGAGCACAGATGCAAGGTGAAGTGGCACCTCATCCCGGGTTTACTGGATACACACATGAGTATTACGCAAATCCTCAGCTGGCTAATGGACAACATCCTTATGAAAATATATCATCTTTTGCTCCATATAAGCAAAGCATGAGTGATAAAGGAGGAGGGAATTATGTAAACAACCTTGAGCAGAGCACAGAAGTGCAGAGGTTTGGTGCAGTCGTCCAGAGCAGAGACTATGTAACTACAGATAATAGCACGCAGCAATTTAATGAAGCAGCAAGTGGGGAATATACAGGGGTGGACAGATATAATCAACTAAAAGAGAACAAATATGATTATAATAATGTTTATTCCCAAGACATGTGGGGGCAGACCAATAGCCAACAAATACAGAAGCCAGGAATTCCCTCAGCACAAAATTATCAAAATATAAATGCTTATTCAAGAACAAACACGCAGGAAAATGTCCAAAACTACAATTATGAACAAAAGGTAATGGAAAATTATGGCACACGACCACAGAGGACTGCAAATGTTTCAAATGAGATGGTACAGTATGCCCCACCTCATCTGGCAAATACAGGTAATGCTGTCTATAATACACAACAACAGCCTGGAACATATAGAGACATTTATGCTCCTTCATCATCCCACGAGTTCAATAAGGAAATCAAAATGAAAGAAAATTATGCTCCTCAAGACAATCATAAATATTATGATCAAGAGTCTAAAAAACCAACCATCATTTCTAGTCAAGCAGGGATGCCTATATCCACAGAGGAATTAGGCCAAAGAAAAGAGGAGGCCATAAAAGAGAATGGGATGAAAGGTATGCAGTCGAAAGAAGCTAGACACTTTGAAAATAGCAAACAGGAAAAGAAAGAACAAGAACAAGAACAAGAACAAGTACAAGAACAAGTACAAATACAAGTAAAGGATATTTCAAAAACAGACCAGGCCACTAACGAGCAAGTCTCTTCTCAACAGTATAAGTCAAATTTGTATAAAGCTGAGATAAATGAAATAAAAGAAAGATCAAAGTCGAATTCACAGCAACACAAAGAAGATTTGGAAAAAGAAGCATTTACAAAGTACAGAAATGCTCAAGACAAGGACCTCCCCACAGCAGAGGAAATTATAAAACAGCTACGAGGAGAAAACTCAAATTCAGATCACCCTGAAATACTGGAGGTGACAGACAAACAGGAATGCATGATGGAGAATGAGCTCCACAGACCCAAGCCAGAGAAACAGCAGCCCATAGTGCAACATGCTAACACCGAGGGGCTAAAAGAGGAGCTCATAAAATGTGAACTGGCAGCGAGTAGCGAGGAGGCCAGAATAGAGCAAGTTAAACCTGAGCCCAGTGGTGAGGAGAGGGTCACAACTGAACAGGCCACAGAGAAGCAAGTAGGAGCAGAGAATGTTGAGAGAATGATAGAGGAAGACAGGAACGAAGCCAAACAAGCTGTAACTGAGCTGATAATGGAGAGTCAGGCTAATACAAAACCAGAAGAAAGTAAAGACATAGAAATTATTGATGTTAAAAATAAAACACCTGAAACTGAAGTACCAAAATCACAAGAAGGAAAAGATGAAAAAGAATTAAAAGTTAAAGTTACTGATAATCTCATATGTGAGGAACAAATAAAAACACAACAAATACCCAAAGAAGATGCAACAAATGTGAATAATGTAGAAAATGTATCCAAATTTGAACGTCAACAGCCAGCAACATGTGAACTAGATAAAGTGGAACAGACCAAGACTGAATTAGCTAAAACCAATGTGGAGTTAGCCAAAATAAAGGAAGAGAAGAAGGGAGAGCAGAAGGTTCAGAAAGATGAAGATGAACTTATTGAGCAGGAAAATGAGAGTGCTCATACATTAGCCAAAGAGCCACAAGTCACAAGCGCAGACCTGGCAGACAGGGGAGCAAATGACTTAGAGCACATAAGAGAAAAATATGGTAACAGCCAAGGTACTGCTACAAACACAATTTCTACCACAGACAATGTCAATGAACAGTCAACAGTACCTGACACAAAAGATGAAGTAACAGAAAACAAGGTGGACACAAACCAGGATAAACAGACAAACAGTGACGTAATATCTGACACAAGAGATGACAATGAAAAATCTAAGAATTCTTATGATGACCCAACAGGAAGTCAATATGTTTATAGTGAATCATCCAAAGATTTTAAATTATCTGTTGTTAGTAATGTACCAGCTCATGAAGATTCAAAGAAAGTTAGTGAAAATGTTTCTACCAAAGAAGATGCCCCAATTGAAAAAGTAGAAAACTCAGGTGGGGCTCAGCCGAGAGACGATACAAAACAACTTCTCATCAACAACTGTACAATGTCACAAAGTAATTTGCCTGATCATGCAACTAAAGAGACTGTCCTCAAAAATGATGCATGCAAGCTGAACGATGTTCCTGTTGAGAAAGTAGAGAAATATGACATTTCTCAACAAAAAGATGTTACAAAACAGGTTCCTATAGAAAGAAAGACAAAGTCAACTGATCAAAAGACAGGTTCAAGTAAAGAAACATCATTGAAAGGCCTGACCCATAAAGAGAAAGCTCAGACAAAACAGGAGATTCTGACGTCAAAGATAAAGGCTCATGCTGAAAAAGAAATATCTGCAATCAAAGAAGGTTTCGCCAATAAAGATGGACTTAAAAATCCAACAAAGCCTTCGAGTATAGGTCAGAATATGACCATACGACAGAAGCCACCATCACAGGAGGTCTACAAAAAACAAGAACGGACAATGAATGATGGCACAGTGTCTGCTGCAGTTACAGCTACAAGCCAGCCTGCAGAGATTCCACAGAAACAGATGAAAAACAATGAGCATGCAAAAGAAAAAGAGGCAACAGTAACAAATACAGAGTTACGTACAAGTACAATGTCATTTAAAATGAGAGAGAATCACACAGTTCAAAAGGATAAAAAATTTGGTTCTCCCACAGATGACAAGAAAATGAAGTCACAACATGAGGACAAATTAGTAAAACAAGATCATTTGAGGAAAGGAGATAATGTCAATATTGAAAACACAGCACCTTCTATTCAACTCGAGAATGAAATCTCTGCACAAGACAACTCTTTATCAATCATGGGAATAATGGTGACAGTGAGAGAAAGAAATCCTTCAGAGAGGGAGGAAAACAAAGAGCAAGATGTTCTTAGTGTAAGGTGCCATAATACAGATAAACATGGTCCACATGTTGAAACAAACATCCTCTCTGAGAAACTCAGTGTAAATGAACAGGATTATACTGAAACCAAGCATTTTATGAAAGAAACTGACTCAGTGACACACAAGAATTTTACTGACAGCACTACTGAGAAAACTAGCCAACAGAAAAGCTCTTCACCAAATGACAGACCCCAGAGGGAAACACTACTCCCTGACCACCTGGCTGAAAAAGTTGTGCCCCCCACGGTTACTGTACCAGCTAAAAATAAAGTGTTGGCTGAAACACAACCCCCTGCCAACAAACAGGACATAATAGCAGAAGAAACTAAAGTCAATGCAAACAGACCTCCTAATGCTGTCCTGGAAATCACTGGTATCAAAGGTCAAGAGGAGATTGTTGGGATAAGAGCAAAACCTGAGGCTCCTCAGGTACTGCCTACAACAGAAATGAAGAGAGTCATATCTGTATCTACAACAAGCAATGATAATACTGAAGATGTCTTGCATATTGACAGCATTGCTATTCGAGTTGTGCCAGCAGTAACTGAAGATGTGAACAAAGCTACACAAAGAAATGCTTCAAATAGCTCTGTTATTGAGAAAGAAACTCAAAGCAACACACAAACTACAAATGATGATGTTCAAAAAGTATTATCCAGTGTTAGAAAGCAAGCACAGTTACTGAAAAATCAACCAAATCTCAATAATACAACCAGTCAAAGTAGTGAAAATGAAAAGACTACAAATGATACAAATGAAGATGAAACCAAAAACCCTCCAATGGAAGAGGGTTACTTCCAGGTTGACAAAAGAGATACTGGACCACATAATAACAGCACAAACGTGGGACAAAGTTCAGAAGCTGTCGCTCAGGAAAGGGAACCCCCAAGATCTCTGCCAAACCAACCTAGTTCAGCAAGCAGACAAGATCAGAATATTAAAACTTCAAAACAATTAGACAATAGTCCAAACGATAAAAGTGATAAAGATGAGAAACCAGGAGCTGGCCAATCACATCACATCAGAAGACATCCCATGGCAAAAGGTAGACAAAGAGGTTTTGCAACACTCCCAGATAGTACCGATAGTAAGGTTGAAGTTAAACCAAAACCAAAAGTCCCCATACCTGAGATATCGGCACTTGCGGACTATGCCAGACTTAAAGTGATTGTTTCTAAAGACGATGAAGACACTCTCCAGGAACAGCCCCCAAATAAAAAGGAAGGCTTTTTTCCACTTATTCAGAGTCGTCATAGCAGACGTCCAGTGTTCACAATGGACTCACAAGAGGATCTTGTGAAAGAGAAAAGTTCACAAAATCAGCCAAGCACTCAAGTTAAAGTGAGCAAAGAACCTACTCCTGTTGTGTTCCCCATCACAGATAAACAACACCAAAGAACTGGGATGTTTAAACTGGAAGCCAAAGAAAATGCAGAGGTACAAAAGAGTCCAATGGACCAAACATCAAAAGACAAAGCAAATAATGGGGTGAAAAAAACAGAGGATAAAATTAAGGACATGCTGGAGAAGAGTAGGGCAAAACAAGCAGAAGAAGAGAAGAGAGCTGCTCAGAGAGAAGAGGAGCAGCGTGCTCTCGAGAGGGAGGCCATTGTGGCACAGATCCGTGAAAGACGCAAGAAACAACGAGAGGCTGAGAGGCATGCAGAGGAACATGATAAAGGCAAATGGGAGGCAGAGAAAAGAAGTCTTCTAGGGCAAAATGTGATGTCTGCTGTAAATAATGACGAGCAACAAAAACTGTCAGAAAGGGAGCTGTTAATAGAAGCAAATCCAGATGGACAGGACAGGACATTACAACAGAAAACTGCTTCAGATGCACAGGAACAGCAAAGAAGAGCTGCTCTAGAGGAACAACAGAAAAAAGTGGCTCAAGTTGAAGAACAGAGAAGAAAAGCTGCTAAAGAGGAGCAGCTGAAAAAGGCTGCCCTCGAAGAACAAACCAGAAGAGCCAATGAAGAGCAGCAAAGAAAAGCAGAGGAACAGAAAAAGGCCATTTTAGAGGAAAAACAGAAAAATGCTGTTCAGATGGAAGAGCAAAAAAGAAGACTATTGCTAGAAGAACAGCAAAAAAGAGCAGCTCAAAAGGAACAGCAGAGGAAGATAGCAGAGGAAGAGCAGCAAAGACAAGCAGCAATAATCGAAGAACAGAAGAAGAAAGCTGCATTTGAAGAACAACAGAAAAAGTTGGCAGAGGAAGAACAGCAAAGAAAAGCTGCTATCTTTGAGGAACAGCAAAGACGAGCTGCTCAAAAGGAACAGCAGAGTAAAATGGTAGAGGAGGAGCAGCAAAGGAAAGCCGCAATAATTGAGGAACAGAAGAAGAAAGCCGCCATTGAAGAACAGAGAAAGCTCGCATATGAAGAGCAACAAAAACAAAGTGCTCTGGACGAACAGAAGCAAAAATCTGCTCTGGAGGAACAGCAAAGAAGAGCAGCTGAAAGTGAACAGCTCAGAAAAATGGCAGAGGAAGAACAGCAAAGGAAAGCCACTATAATCGAGGAACAGAAGAAGAAAGCCACCATTGAAGAACAGAGAAAGCTCGCATATGAAGAGCAACAAAAACAAGTTGCTCTGGAAGAACAGAAGCAAAAAGCTGCTCTAGAGGAACAGCAAAGGAAGAAGGCGGAGGAAGAACAGCAAAGGAAAGCTGCACTTATTGAAGAACAAAAGAAAAGAGCTGCTATTGAAGATCAACAAAGAAAGCTTGCACAAGAAGCTCAACAAAGAAAAGCTGCTCTGGAAGAACAGAAGCAAAAAGCTGCTCTAGAGGAACAGCAAAGAAGAGCAGCTGAACATGAACAGCTCAGAAAAATGGCAGAGAAAGAACAGGAAAAGAAAGCCGCAATAATCGAGGAAAAGAAGAAGAAAGCTGCCATTGAAGAACAAGAGAGAAAGCTTGCATATGAAGAGCAACAAAAACAAGCTGCTCTGGAAGAACAGAAGCAAAAAGCTGCATTTATTGAAGCACAAAAGAAAAGAGCTGCTATTGAAGATCAACAAAGAAAGCTTGCACAAGAAGCACAACAAAGAAAAGCTGCTATGGAAAAACAGAAGCAAAAAGCTGCTTTAGAGGAACAGCAAAGAAGAGCTGCTCTAGAGGAGCAGCAGAGGAAAAAGGCAGAGGAAGAACAACACAGGAAAGCTGCCATCATTGAAGAACAGAAGAAAAGAGCTGCTATTGAAGAACAAAGAAAGCTCGCACAAGAAGCACAACAAAGAAAAGCTGCTCTAGAGGAACAGAAGCAAAAAGCTGCTCTAGAGGAACAGCAGAGGAAAAAGGCAGAGGAAGAACAACACAGGAAAGCTGCCATCATTGAAGAACAGAAGAAAAGAGCTGCTATTGAAGAACAGAGAAAGCTCGCACAAGAAGCACAACAAAGAAAAGCTGCTATGGAACAACAAAAGCAAAAAGCTGCTCTAGAGGAACAGCAAAAAAGAGCTGCTCAAAAAGAACAGCAGAGGAAGATGGCAGAGGAAGAACAAAGGAAAGCTGCCATTATTGAGGAAGAGAAGAAGAAAAGAGCTGTTATTGAAGAACAACAGAGAAAAGCTGCTGCTGAGGAACAACAAAGGAAAGAATCTCTGATTGAAGAACAGCGGAGACATGCTGTGTTGAAAGAAGAGCAGAGAAGAGATGCTCTAGATGAACAACTGAGAAAAAATAAGATAGTTGAGGAAGAGCAGCGAAGAAAAGAAGCTATAGAAGAACAGCGAAAAATAGCTCAAATGGAAGAAATGAGAAGACAAGCAGTTTACAAGGAACAGCTGAGAATGTCTGCTGAGATTGAGAAGCAAAAGAGAATTTCAGCTCTGGAGGAGGAGCAACAAAGAAAAGCTAAATTAGAGGAACAGAAGCAAAAAGTGGCAATGGAAGAAGAGAGAAAATTTTCTCAAATTGAAGAAAAGAGAAGACAAGCGGCTCAAGAGCAGCAGCTGAGAAAGGCTGCTGAGACTGAGGAGCAAAAGAGAAGGGAGGTTTTAGAAGAACAAAAGCGAAATGTTGCTATAGAAGAACAGAAAAAACTAGCTCAGATTGAAGAAATGAGAAGACAAGCAGCTCACGAGGAACAGCGCAGAAAGATAGCTGAAGAGGAGCAGCAGAGAACAGCTGCTATAATCGGGGAAGAGAGGAGAGAAGCTCTTGAACAACAGCAACGAAGAGAAGCTCACGAGGAGCAGCTGAGAAAAGCTGCTATAGAAGAACAGAGGAGGAAAGAAGCCCTTATAGAAAAGCAAAAACGCGCTCGAGAAGAGGAGGAAGAGAAGCGTCTGGCCTATATTAGAGAGGAGAGAATCAGAAGACAGATTGAGGAAGAGAGGGAAGCTGAACTTCAAGAGGAAATGACAAGGCATCATCAAAGCTCTGCGCAAAATCAAACACACAAAGGAAAAGATACAAGACCCTTCAGAGGCCAGGACCTACCCCGGAATCAGAAGGATTCAAGCACAAGGAAAGCAGTAAATCAGGAGGAAACAGCTCAAATGGAGGAACAAAAAAATATCTCTGATAAAGAAGCTCTCCAATATTACTCCTTGACCTCAGCAGAAGCAGAGAAACCCTCATCTCCTCAAAAAAGAAGCAATGCAAACGGACCTGACATGGTAGATGACATCAGCAGGCCACATGCTCCTGCATCTCCAGCCCACTCTCAACCCCGCTCCACCACAGCCTCCCCAGCTTTTGGAACCAAACCCTCCATGTTCAAAGTTAAAGACAACACCCTCCGAGGATCTTCTCTCACCAAGTCCATCAAACCACGTTTCCATAAGAATTTTGGGGATGAATTCAGGGTTGGTTCGCCAATGGAAAGAGTTTGGGAGAAAAATGAGGGTGATCTAGATACATTAAGGTGCCGAACTCCTTCTACCCCTCTTCCACAGTACAGGCCATTTTCAAGAAGAAGCCTTGCTCTAGATGATGAAGACTCACGTTCCATCATCAGCAATATGTCGGAGGACATGGAGAGTTTTGCCACCAATGCAACCGACCTTGCAGATATAAGGGCATTGTATGACTCAGATAGACCTGAATCGGCATGCAGCTTTAGCAGCGATGTATCACGTTCATTTGGAAAACCTCCTGCAGTTCCCCCAAAGAGTGAGAAGGCCCTGCGGCGGGCTAAAAGACTGGCTACTAGGAGATTCAAAAAGGAACTGTCCAAAGATGTGACAGAGGACTCATATGAGGCTTCCATGTCAGAAGTTGCCAACTCTGATGTTGTGGCCTCTCCTCACTTTACACCTCCAATTTCCATAGCTCGTGCTCCCCCTGCTGGATCAAGTGTGTCCTTGTCACACTCAGAGCCTTCTCACCAGCGTGCTCTGCATACTCCACATGCTACCGGGCCTATTTCACTTCCCAATTCACCCCCACATACCTCTACTCCAGTATCTGTCCCTTCATTACAAAATCCTGGCTCCTTTTCCACCTCTGCCGCCCCAAGGTCGATTCCTAAAGTCCCCTCTTCTCCTACTCACCATCATGCTCCAAAACCAGTCACACAGTACCAAGTCGAATCTGGCTTTTCACAATCCTATACACAAAGAAGAGTGATGCAAGATATAGGCTCTGGTCAGTACTATGTTGTGGATGTGCCCGTTGAGGTAAAAACAAAGACATTCTTTGACCCAGAAACAGGGAAGTATGTTCAGCTGAATGTACGTGAGTCCAGTAGAAATGCCCCCCAAAGACAACCCCTCCATGGGTACCCACAACCTCACCTAAAAGCTAAATTACATGCCAACCTACAACCGAACACTTCAAGCAATGCACAATATCAAAGTTATTCTAGCAACTCCAAAGGCAACCAGTCTGCTGCCACCTCCTCTGGCCAGTCAATGACACCAGCGACTGTCATTCAGGACCAACAAACAATCAGATCAAGCATGGCCCACCGACAGGGAGGCTCTGAAACTAGCTACAGCCCAGATAAGACTCCTTATATGGATACAGTTAATAAAGCGGACAAAGCACACCATGTAGATTACAACACACAGGGATCTCAAGGGGCAATAACAGAAGGTGACAGGCAATTAGTAAACTCAAGATATGGATCACGTGATATTATTACTATGAGTGAACTGGAAGATTTTATGGAGGTTTCTGACTGGTGAGAGGAGTTTGATAAAAGACAAGGTTGCGTTCCTAATTTTAAAGGGACAATATCTTAAAAGTGAGCTGGAAGAGTGAATTTGTTGTTACAACATCAAAATGCAGATGTTACTGGACCTATCACCATAAAACTGGCACAAAGGTCAAAATGGATTTTTAGTATCCTTCAAAAATTTTATGCTGCGGAACCCATACATGGTTTAGTAAAAATTGCATTGGTGTGTTATATTTAATGCTGCTGCTTTTGAGTTTATTATGCTATTTATTGTTTTACAGAAAAAATACCATTCCATTTGACTTATGAATGTTGAGAAGCTACATTTTATTGTATTCTGTAGCAGGTTGTATGTGAGTGCAATGCCTATACTGAAAGCTATAGTGACACACAAATGTACTTATTTTTGATCTGCATGGCATTTTAAAGAGTGTCCAACAAAAAAGAAGTTTGGAAATGGTACGAAGCACTGTTCAAATATAACACAGTGTAAGAAATGATGTGATTATAATAATTCAGTTTTGAACAATTACATTTCTTAGTTCCTTTCTTGTTTTTGTCTGTGTGGCTGACTAAAAATGGAATAAAAACGTACACTATGATCACTTAAAAAAATTATGCTTTGAGAGTTATTAATAAAAACAAGTAGGCTATCAATGTGTGCGATGTCAATGTTTCACTTTCTTAGTAGACCCTATTATTTATGTAATAATTTCATTGATTGTATTTAATTGAATTTATAATTGACCTCCATTAACTACCAGCTATTCTTCCTAGAGATGTAGCATGTTTTGGGTTGGGTTAAGTAAGTCCGAGGCAGGTCTCCCTATTTTTGACAAATTTGATACCCACCACTAGCAAAGCGGGAAACATACTGAAATTTATTTAGCTAAAATACAGAAAAATGTGCTTGAAAATGACCACAAAGCAAAAAATGCACAGACACTGGTAGCTCAGATTATGACTGACCCACACGTGAGGCAAGAATGGACAGTGTTACGCGCTCTTTTATTCATCCTAACCATCCCAACCTTGATATGGCCCAGTTTTTAAGTTCTGAAAATCCTACTAGCAATTTTGTCACGACAGTCGCACTGAGCTGGACTCGGATTCCCATAGACTGAAGCATCAGCAGAACTGGGCTAATTTTGTAAGTGTATCTTGATGCATAATGAAGTTTGATTTGGATATTTAATTTTGACCAAATGTTTGCATAACAATAGCTTCTTATAATCCAGTGTTGATAGACTAGCTACACATAGGGCTAATTCATGCCCTTATTGCAACCCCACTGTGAGCGTAAGCATGTGTGTTTAAAACGCTGTTAAAATGTTTTCTCTAATAATCATTATGTAGCTGACTGCAAATTGGCGACTTACCAATGTGCTTACCTGTCTACCCCACTCCTGCCCCTGCCACACGAACTCTAGAAAGTAGTATCGTTTTTGGCCACTATGAGGCAGACATGAGCACAATAACTAGTTCAGTGGGCACACCATGGGGCAGACACACTAAGTTACAATTACCCGTAAAAGTCATAAATCAACATGTGTAATTTGCTCTTTCTATGTTATGATAAAATGGTTCTATTACATGTATTTTTTTTATTTAATCCTTTGAATAATGAAATAAACACAGACTGCTTGTGCACTCTACAGTTTTGTGAGATGTCTTTAAATACCTGAAGGGTTAATTGTGTTGTGTAATTCCATTTGGCTTTGGCAGGACTGGGGAGCTGCAGCAGAAGTCCTGTCTCAGCACTTTACCCTGCCCAATAAAGCAGCAGGCCTCTCTCCACTGGGACGTCTGACAACCACAGAGACAGGCCCATGCCACTGTCCCGCAGCCAGACAGGGAAAGAACAGTTTAACATCTGCACGCACAACATTCACACAACCTGAAATAAAAGCAGGTTATGTGCTTGTTTTACATAAAAATTGCAGGGCTTTCACAAGATTAGTGTAATGAAGCGTGTTTATCATTTTAGGGCACTAATCTTTAAAATTAGGTATATGACGTTTTGACAATTAAGGGGTTATTTTTAAGTGCTCCAAAAATGACACATAAACAAACTAACAATAGACTTCGCCCAAGTTTTGGGGGGTTTGGGCCTCAGTCCAAGACTTCTCACAAGAACACAGGAAATGACATTTCCTAGGTTCTGCAGGACACAACGAAGGAGGCAGAGACAGATGGAGAGAGGGAGAGAGAAAAGTGGGAGTTTCTAAGAAGGAACAGAGCATATACTGTTTCACATTACAGAGAGAAGAGAGGAGAAAGAGGAGAGGAGTTAATGCTGGGTACGGCTCTGGCAGGTCCTGCAGCCAGCCGCACTTTTCAATGTAGCTCCCGGAGTAACAGCTGTTTATGGATTCACTGACTGTGGAAAATGTACCTCTCTATAGTGGCCTTTGTCCTAACTAAAGCTCTGCTCTCAGGTAAGTTCAGTTTGTTTACAGCAACTATAAGAAACTGCATTTCGGCCAATACTTTGGCTCTAATTCTCCAGTCAATGAAATAAAGTAAAATATTCAGGAAAAGATTGCACCACCCTAACAAGTCAACTTATTTGGTTTATCGTTTGTTGGAGAACTACATAAGAAACTATTTGCTTTCCCTTTTCATCCTTTGTAATTAAAAAAATATCTTTTGTCTCATTTGGGAAAAGTTATTTTCATTAACAAAACAAAACAAGTCACAAAAATTCACAAGGCACCAGTTTATTTGTGCCAATCCCAATCTTGGGTGAATGGAGAGGGCAGAATCAGCAATCTCTAAATCAATATACAAATCCAAGTACAGTAGGCATTTTTTTGTAGTGAACCTATGGAATTCTTAAATAGGAAATACACGATGAGTGGTAGGCCTACTTATAGTCATAAATGGCATAAAGATGTCTTGCTGCTAATGATGCTGCTCCTGTGGTTTGTCACTTCAAACAGAGGAGGACAGACCCTAAGGCAGATTCCCCAGCTAACATAAAACCAAGAAAGCAGCATGGGAGCCCAGATGGTCCCAGTTAGCTTGTCGTGTTGGTACCGGCCTGTTTTGAGTGTACTGTACCCAAGATGGATGTTTTCCACCTGTAGATGCTCCACGCCTATCTGATCACATCTTGTGCCCAGACTCTGTGTCTGCTCCAAAAAGTCTCGACCCATCTGGACAAAGATAAAACACAAATATACAGAAAAATGAAAAAGGCAGCTGAAATCTACTCTTGTTATTCCAAAACCCCTCATGTTTTCTAGCATTGACAGAATAAATTCCCATTGCATGTTAAACTGTGAAGTTGTAAAAAGATTGAGTCTCTCCAAGGCAGTAAATCTGAGCTGCCACTGTGGGTGTGCTTATAAAACATTGAGTCTAAAATGCATAATTATGTTTAATTGGCAGGAAATCAAACATTGCAAAATGATTGCAGGCCTTGTTCTACGTGGGGTATTGGAGAGGGCCAGTTACATTTTATGTTTTACACGCATTGTTGTTATGAACATTTCAGGAAAGGTCAGTAAAGGGCCAAAATGATCAACATTGTTCAAGGTCACTGTTTCACCACTTGTTCATAAGCACTTGTTCATTACAAATAGCTTATGTTCTGTGCATTTATACACCTTTTTTTGTTTTGTTGACAGCATATGCATTCAGTATTTTGCGTATTAAACAAAAAAAGATCATAGGAATCAAATTAAAGGATATAAAATTTTAATGTGTATTGTGAGAAGACACAATTTTATGATTATTCATGACATTATAGTCAAAGAACAGTGATGACTAACAGATCAAAGTGACTTTCTGCATAATAATATAAACCAGGGATTCTTAAACTTTTAAATCTCAGGTCCTGACTTTTTCTGTTCAAACTAACTTGTGGCCAAATCTCATATTAAATTCATTATATTCTACTGATTGTGGGACCTTCAAGAAGTTGCCCTATTTTGGGCCCCAACTCTGATTAAGAGGCACAAACATAAACAGCCATTTAAATAAAACACAGTACATTTATAGTTAAATTTTTAGTTTTTATTAGTAGCTATTGTGATTATTTTGGGAATAAACACAATTATCAATAGAATTATCTGGACAACTCTATTTGACAGATTACAAATGAATGCTGTGATGTTTTTCTGTTTTTTTGCAGCAGAGGTTTGCCATGCTTTAAACGTGACAGTGACACCGGGCCCTGTCATCATGGTAACGGAGAGGGACAATTTGACCCTGTCCTGCCTGGTTTCCCAACGCAAGAGGAGCAACAGTGTCCTTATCCTGCGCTGGTTCTACTCCCCTCCTGTGTCCCCCACAACAATCCCCCAGGACTCATCTCTTCATCCTTCTACACAAGAACCAAATCAGTTTCTCATCGCTAAACTGGGAATCAAGAAAATTAAGCTCTATGGGAACTACACACGACGTTTCCCTCGGCCCAAGTTTCGCCTGTTTGAGGAGCAGGAGGGAGAGTTATTCCGGTTGTGGATTTTGAATGTGTCTGGGATGGACCAGGGAATGTACAGCTGCAAGGTTCAGGAGATACGTAAACTCAGGAACACATGGAGGTCCTCTTCAAATGGTACAGGCAGCACGCAGCTAATGGGTAAGTGATGCTATAGAGGTGGGCAACAATTCCAAATATCATTTACACAGAAATTGTAGTGCTGATGCTGTGTAATATTAGACTGTTCACTATAGTGTGGAAAGTAAAAGAAACTTGAACATAATACTTCAAAATATATTTCTGAACTTATGCTTATGTTATTGAGCTTTAACACTTGTGTGATACTTGAACCTCACTGGATAGATTTTAACCTGGAGAGACTCAGACAGACACAAAGAGAAAGTATTAGTAGTTTTATTGAATGAGTTTGCTTTGCAGCAAAAGACATTGCCATAAAGGGCGTGGCCGAGTAGATGAGATGTTTTCGCCCCACGGCCTGAGCACTGGTAGAGGTGAGGCCAAGGAGAGTGAACAATGAGACGAAGGGGAGAGCGTGAAGGGGGGACGATGAGATGATGAGGAGAGAGAAGAGGATGATAAGAGATTGAGGAAAGAGAAGGGGACGATGAAATGATGAGGCGGTGCAGGGGAGGAGGTGGGGCGTAGCACAAATTAAGAGCAACTGTACACATGCAGTGGGGTTTTACATTGGGCAGGAGTGTTTGACGTGAGGTGATGAAGACTGAGGATCAGGAAAATTCTGGAGAAGCAGTGAGGAAGATGGGAGAGAAGTTCGGTCTGGCATTTGCAAAAATATCATCTATTGTTAGTGGAATAATAATATTGTGAATATTGTCCACTCATATCCTTAGTTGTTGATGATGTCTTCACTTGCTCTTCAACAAACATTTCATATTGTATCTTTCATTTGACAATATAAGAAAAAGCACACCATGTGCAAAAAGAAACAGGGGAATTCTGTGTTCCAATCTTATGCAAAGTTGATCCATTTCTGGCCAAGGAATCCCCTTTGCACTCACACCCTGTCAGTGTGATCCTCTAATGGAAACAACTGGATAAAGGAAAATCAGCAGCTGATAGTGGAACACAGAGGGAACACTGAAGACAGGATTTATTTATTTTTATGTGTCTATTTATTGAAGTTAAAAATCCTTGCGCGCGTGTGTTTGAGTGTGACCCCAGTTCTCTGGCATTTCCATCTCAAAACAATGAGCTCACAGCCTCACACAGCCAGCTCTGTCTGTACCAGCAGAGGGAAAGGTAGAGAGAGTGCTGAGCTGGCTCTGCTTGAACCGAAATACATTACATCAGCATGTTGAGTTTAAGGCCTCTGCAAACCTCGGGAAAAATGGTTACTGCAGATTCCAAATGTGGTGAAACGTTTAAGGGACATTTGAGGATCATAATTGCTTGTTACTTAAATTAAATTCACCTATTCAGCAAAATCAAACATTACCAAAAAGGCATATGTCATCCTGTTTTGCCATAGTTTACGATACTGAAAAATTGTTGTGTGTGGTGAAAACAATACTGTATTAACTTACCTTGCTTAATTCTTAAGTCAAATTCATGTGACAACGCCCTGACCTATATTTGGGTCAATGTCCGCTAAGGAAGCCACACAACCTCAGGCATCTGCGCCATGCTTTGCCACAGAGACAAAACACAAGTGCTGACATTTTGAGGGTAAACGAAACTAAGTTATAGCTTTGAACCAGGAATCCCCCCCTGTCTGAGCATTTTAACAAAAGCTGGTATCTGCCTCCTAGACCACAAAAGCTCTGGGGAGACAGCCCTCACTTATTTTGAAATACCATCTTCAGACCATATGCTCTTGTTGTTTCTTCTCTCTAAATGAAAGGGTTTTGTGCTGATAAAATCTAGTTTTATTAGTGCAGACTTCAAATTTCACTGCTCCAAGTTGAGAATCTGGTTGAACTTTTCTTCTCACAGTGGAGCAGAGCCAAAGCACATGCGTCTAATTCGTACCTGATGATTTTTTGAAAGGAAATCTGTGCAGGTCACTTTTTGTTCAGGAGGTGTCCAGGAGAGAGAGAGGGGAGCCATGTGTGAACACTGGATTATTGGTGCCAGCTGCTGGTTAACCACAGTGTGAGGCTATGTGCCATTTACAACTCTCATTATCAACTGTACAGTGCCCTTAACTGCATGTCAACTGAACCCATCATGCTGTGTAATAGCAGTTATATTTAAATGAAATGCTGTTGGATTACAATACCACTCAATACATGCTGTTTAACTGTCAGATTAAATATTGTAAGTGGTAAGTGATCCCCTGATGAAAGTGAGGGCACTGCTGCACCCTTCATGTTTCCATAGGTTTTATTTTGAGTAATTACTGGACCTATCCACACGAAGCAAAAACTGACACAAAAACTCACTTCTGTATGAATATAAATAAACACGAAAGTGGTGCATTATTCCACCCCACCCCAGAGACATGATTGTTGTCTGTTGAAAGAACTTTAAGAAAGATTAATATGGCAAGTTTATAGAACCAAATGTTCAACATTTGTGGATCATAAGTCTGACTATTTCTTCAAAAATGGTGAATTTCGCATAGAGTTAAATTGGCTCCAGTCCTCCATCTGAAATTGCATATTCACCTTTTTTTTGTCACTTAGTTGTCAGGTAAAAAATAGTGTTGCTCTATTTATTACTCTTCCATTATAAAATCATCATCATAATCTGTAAATAATTCTTTCAACAATGTCATCAGAACATATTATACTTCTCCTATTAATACGTAAAAAATTGAATGTGAAAACCCTAAGAGGAAGTGGTTATCCAGAGAAACGGGGAACTCCCAAACACAATCCAAGAGCAGCAGTCCGTTGGGCCCCTCTTGTGTGTGTACACTGTTTGTGTGGTGTGTTTGGCGGATGAGGTTGTAGTCTCTCCGCTCATGACAGCGGTTTGATATTTCTGGAAACCACTAAAGCAGTCTGCTCTGTTGGACCCATGCCTCCAGACAACAGCATTTTTATAATAGGCACACTCCTCTGTCCTCAACGTTTGGCTTTTGCTGACTTTTAAATCTCTTTTTCCAGTGCACGTTACTCACGAGGACAGCAGAGGGGAAGGACTGGGACAGTGGTCTGCAGGTATTCAAGCTAAAAGCTATTATTAGTCTATGTTATCACCTTTTTTATGTGAGATTTATGTGTGCATTTTCAGATGTGTACCTGAGTGCGGTGCTGATCTGCTGTCTGGGCCTGCTGTCCATCTTCCTCTTCACTTTGGTCCTCTCCTGCCAGTATTTTTATAGAAGACATAGACTCAAAAGTAAAGTGAAAACTCACATATAGTTAGTCAATTCATGTCTACATTAGATTAATACATTTTCCTTTTTTACAGCCAGTTATCTTCTAGTCAAGTGTCCAGAAAGCAGGTATGTCAGAATTCTTACATTTGCAATCAATTGCCAATGGTAAGTAGAATAGCAACTATGTGAGTAAATGTTATAAGCTTTGAAAATGTTAGTGTAAAAGTGATAGTTGGAGTAATATTTTAGAAGTACTATCACTAGTAGTAATAGTACAAGTGTTGCAATTTGCAGTACAGAACGAGTATCTGAGAAAAGATCCTATCATCTATTAAACAAATGTGTTGAGGTACTGCTATAAGATTTATACTTCATCCACATTTGGCCCAAACCACATGTTAACCTTGTGTATTTTTCCTAACAGCTCAGGCGAAACTGTGACCAGCTCCAGTAGCTCCTCGAGCTCTTCTCCAAAAGCTCTGAGAAAAGACACAAGACCCACAATACCTGCCAGAACAATAACACCACCCACACTACCCCGGGAGCCCCCACCGCAGACACCAACCAAGGGTAAGACTATGTAACTTACTTTGTCACAGCACTTATCCCATTGTACATTATGTAGTGCAGATGTTGGCTTCCAGTGATAGGGATTTTTCAGTCTTTTGCTTGCATCAGAGGGTAGAGGAGTCATTTCAGTGTCAGTTGATGTTTTTTTGGATGGAGTTTCATCCAGACAGTTACAGAAGTCTGAGAAAGGCTCCAGCACCCCGTGATCCTGACAGGGGGACTAAGTGGGTTAGGAAAACAATAGTGGCAAAAGATACACTATCCAACTGCGGCTAAATAGAAAAAAAAAAGAAACATTCCCCATACCGGAATATCAAGTCTCACTGTAAATATTATGAGAAAGTCTTGCATTGTCTAAGATCAAATTCAAAGCAGTTCATTCAAAGCAGATCATTTTGAAGTTAGTTATGTATTTAAAAGGTACAGTGGTGCAATATATCACCACCATATATATTTTCTGGTCATTGGTCAACCACCTTCTTCTGCCCATAAAAATTATATTATTTTGCTTATAATGTTCCACAGTATGACATTAAATGCACGTATGTTCATGACTGACAACAAGTAGGTATATATCTATATATCTATATCTATACACACACACACACACACACACACACACACATATATATATATATATATATATATATATATATATATATATATAATATATATAATATATATATATATATATATATATATATATATAAAACAGGATAGGTTTAATGTGATATGTTTTGAGTATTTGTTCTATTATTGTTTCTATTATTTACTTACGTCTTGTGTTTTAGTCCCTGTTGCTGCAAAGAGACCCCAAAAGCCCAAAAGATCCAAGCTGCTACAACAAAGAGCAGCTAATGTAAGTCATATTCACTCACTTCCCTTGTACTAAATGACCCATCTGGGGACGTCCACAGTTTCCATATTATTTCTGCATATATAAAATGTCTGTTGTTCTGGCTGACTCTCATTGAGGTATATGCAAAGGGGAATTTATTTCACGACTACATGATTGTCGACTGGAGTTTATTACACTCTCTTCATTCAGTTATGAGCTTGATAATTCTATTTAGCTTTATTGCTTCTCATACACTATTATTTATTTAGAGCGCTTCATTAGTTTTATATCTACAATAAAAGTGTAAAAGACATGCCGAATATATCCTGAAGTGATTTTAAGGGTGCTATTCTCGTGTATCTGTCGTGTTTTCTGTTTGTCACAAGAACATGCTGATTTGATTAGTGAAAAAAATTACATGAAATAAATAAAATGTCCTGACAAAGCTTTGAGATCTTGTCAACAAATGTTTTATGTACAATCCAGACCAGATGTTTGCTATAACAATGTGACCACTACTGTTTATAGGGAAAACATAAGCAAACATCCTTTTGGCCTAAATTTGCTTGTTCTCCTTTTCAGACGCGGGGCTTGCAGGAAGACAGTTTGACTTATGCAGAGCTAGAGCTGGTCCGGCCAAGACCCCACCCTTCGGCCCTGTCAAGTCCAGACCCTGCACCCTCTGATTCGGACACTGTTTATGCTCAGATCCTCTTCCAGGAAAAACAGCTGTAAACTCTGCAGCTAAAGGATACAATTTGTCAAGCCAAACTAATCTTCGAAAATATTTATAGACAATTATCTTGACATTAAACAGTCATCTTGTATGGCATTAGTGGATGGGTTTTGTGCCTGAACTCTAACATTGTGCTTTGGCTTGGCTGGTCTGTTCACCAGATGTGTTGGTATGTATGAATGCCATATTATTCTTGTTTAAACTCAGGAGATGATGTAGAAAAAAACCTTGGCCAGGCTGTTTTATTGTCGCCTTTGAGGGATCTGTAAATTCTGCTTTTCATTTTCATTTATAAACATCATAATTAATGTATATGGTCAATAAATATGTTTGTGGGTACAGAGAGTACATTTTGGGGTTTTATGGGAAAAAGTTAGGATTGGTAAGAAGTTCATCTGCTTTATTTGTTTTTAGTTAGTATTTTATTCTATTGAGGCACCATACCTTCATGAGAAAACATAAGCTGGCAAATATTTGTTTTTAATTTTTAGTCAACAATGATACAAGCCCAATAGATATAGTAAAGATTGTATATTAGGAGACAGAATCCAAGGACAAAACAAATTGAACTCCAGACGACATACTCAAGCCCCCAGAAAAGGTGAAGGGTTCAGGCCATTTTGTGAAGGTCATTGTGTGAAAAAGGCAATGAAGACGGAGATGGCGTCTGAAGGAAAATAATGCACCATCAAGTGGGAGACACAGAGAGAGAGAAGCCATCATCCCCCACAGTCCACAGCCCCTGACGAGGTTGAACCCACTAATGACTACATTTATTCAAATTAGACTAATTGTAATCATGGTTAATAATTAGCTTTACAGTGCATTATAATTGGGTTAGGCTACAAGATGGTTCTGCCGAGGTGCAATAATTTATTTGATTTAATTATTCTGAGGAACCCAGTGCTTTGACATTTCATATCATAAAACCAGCGGGGTAGAGAGAATGGAGATGGCCGTTGTCTTTAGAGAAGGTCATTGCTCGCTCTCTGGGAAAATTATGAGCACTATTTTCCACTCTATTAAGCTACTCCACTTAGCACAATTAGCCACACACATAAAGGTTAAAGAGAGAGACCTCTTTAGTTATGACAGAGGGGAGTGGCGCGAGTGCTTATGAGAATGAAAACAAGCCTTCACAGCACTGACAATGTACAAGCAACTTTTAAAAGGAGCAAACAACAATCAATATTTGGAGCATTGATCACTTAACTATTGTGGATAAATGTTTTGAGTAGTGTGTGTCGTATGTAAAGCTAGTTCCTACAAATTAGCCATTGTTCAGGAAATGCTCCACCTATGACCCATAGTCACTGGGAATGTCTATGGCAACCTTTTTTAAGAGGAATGACAAAAACATAATTTTTTTTTCAAGGATCAGTAAAGCATGATAGGCCAGTGGTAGCAGCACAAAAAGTACAAAACCCTTAAGCATAGTTTGGTCTTTACACATGTTTGCTGTTTACCAGGTTAATTTGCACTGTATTTGCACCATAAACACCTATATATGGTGGTAGATAATTAAATAAATGAAAAGTCATTATAAAGATAATATTTTTATAAGGCAGCCCGGTAGTTGGGGACCCCTTTTCTATGGTACATGCAATTTCACACAGGAAGTACGCCCAAGAAGAATAAGTGCTACCTAATGTCCAATATAGTTAGATGTTAAAATGAACTCCGGGGTCATTTGCACTATATCTCCAGAATAAAATACGTAGATATGGTGGTAGACTTTACAATTTTTTTTAAACTAATAAATACAAATTTATAATATTTTTTTCTGAGTCCTGGCACCAGCATGTACTACAGACCCCCGATTGAATTTCAGACAGGAAGTACACGCAGGAATAATAAGTGCTACGTAATGTCCATAGTTACAAGTAACCTTGATTTATACAGTAAGAAATGACAAAATAAAGGTTTAAGAACACCCCATGTAACCTCTAACATAGGGTATAGTAAATGAACAAGCGAACAACTCTTCAAATGCTCATAAATTCACATTCCAACTCTGATGGAAAATTCAGTGGAGAAAACAACAAAGAAAATGTGTTCAGTGTTCCCAACCAGTGAGCACTCTGAACTGTTGATACCACAAAAATGCACCAAAGAAATACATTACAATGCTTGAACTGCTGACTGAAGGGAATGTCTGACTTTTTACTGAAACTGATTTTTCCAGTAGCACATGGAGGCATCAAAAGTTTCATGCTTTAAGGAATAACAGATTCATCTTGTATTGTTTAACTTTAATGTAAAAACAGCAATTGTTGTTGAAAAAGTAATACGTTTATTATTGGCATATTCATTAATGTAATACTTTAAATGTCCTTTTCTTTTCTTTAGGAATTGCACAGATATAACAATAAACACTGTATTTCAATTATAGTATAAATCTAAATATAATATATCTTAATGAGTGAAAACATGTCTAAAATGGATTCATATTCATTTTAATAAGAAAAAACATTTAGCTAGATGGCACAGAAAGCATTTACCCTGAATGAATATGTAACAATAGTCTTAATATCCAGTTTATGCAACACTTAAAAAGTGATAAATAATTGTGAGGAGGTAGGGGTTGGCTCACTCGCACGTCCATGTAAAAACTCTGCCCCAGGCATCACCCACCAGCAGAGTGGCATGGCTCCTGCACAATAATCAAAGTGTCACATATTTGCACTTTAAGGTGAGATGTTTCATATATTCAGCCTGTATTCTGCACATACCTGGACATGGCCAGCGCAGTGATGGCTGGGTTATTTTTGTAGCGTCTTTGGGACACGGGATGTCCTCTGTTCAGCTCATGACACAACACCAGATGTCTCTCCCATTTTTTAACCTGTGAGCTGCCGACTGAAGATATAACACAAGAATATAGTTTATTAGCAATATGTATTCTAACCCACAGTCACATAGAAAACAAAGGCTTCCATGATACATAAAGACCTGTCTCTATGTAATTTTCAAAGCACAATACTCCTATGAGGTGACGGAGGCTGTAACCAACGTATGCCAAATTGGATCTGGGTATTATTGCTTTCTAAATTATACCCGCTCACACACGTCAGCAGAATTACTCATCAGTGTTTACTGCCTCTATGTTTAATAACTTTATAACAACATAATTCCTGCTAGCCCTAACACTAGTGAGGGATGGGCTAAGCGATACAGTTACCTGGAAACACATTAAATCTCTAAGATGAGCAGTTAAAAATAGTAATTTCACATTTTGTCTAATTACCCTGTGAGGGGATTCTTACATTCTCTTCAAAGATAGATGATTACACCCAGTTCTGTGTTTTTTACAGGGTTCTGCTAAAACTATGGCAGACAATCGATTTATTATTTATTAGTTATTTGAGTATTTATATTTTATACAACATCTTCAAACAGCTTTTTAGTATAGTTTCCACCAACTATTGTTTAGCTTGATCTAGACACCATTAAAGGGAAACACTGGATGATCTCACATTGTTGTTCTTGTCAACCACTCTCCCTACTGACTTTATTACTTCAGAATATTATTGCATGTAATTTCTTACCAAGCGTTACACTGGTGTCTGCTGGCACTGTTCCTCCCTGCCCCTGGGACACAACTTCCTCTGAAGTGATAGGAACTTGTGTTTGCGTGAGTTCTGTCCTCCAAATCTACGGAAGACACATAACAGGCAAAATTACAGTTCACTAATAGAAAAAAACATTCTGCACTCTGTATGTTTGAAGGCTAGACGATGAATACATGTAGTATATCAATCAAGGAACACATAATACAATGCTACTCACTCTGACACTACCATCGGTGCAGCCAGTCACAATGATGTTCCTGGCATCCCATTCAAGTCTCTGTGAGAAGCTGACACACACGATGTCTGCCTGAGGCCCACAGGAAGTGTCTGTGCAGGCCAACAGCTGCCCCCTCATGGTCCACAGGTACAACTGCGAGCCTGCGCAGGAGGCAATGTCCCCCTGTCAAAAAATACACACTGGGTTCATTTGGTAACAATGAAAAGAATCTTCCTTTACTTTAGATCAGTGGTTCTCAAAATTTTCACACCTAGTTCCACCTAAGAAAATATTAAACCTTCCAAGAACCACAAGATCTAAAGCAGGACTATTCCTAAATAGGGAATATAACTAAAAGAATAACCAAGAGAAGGACAAAAAGGTGAATTAAACTGACACTAAATTAAGCATAAACAAGAAGGAGCTTGCATACTACCAGTGGTATTGGGACCACAGTTTGAGAACCACTGTTTTAAATTAACAACAAAACAAAAACATACAAAAAGCAAAAGAGAGATATGCAGAGGATAAACATGTTGTTTGACTTACAGTGAGCTCATTGATGGCTATTGCAGACACACTGCGTGTGTGTCCTGTGAGCTGCGTGATGTAGCTGAGCTCTTCCAAATCCCACAGGATACAGGTGTAGTCACGGGACCCACTCAGTAGCATGTTGTGGACCTCAGACACAGCCAGGCAAGTCACTGCATCTATGTGCCCGTATAATGGCTGTAGAAACAATTACTTTATTATTACAACAATAACATCCAAAAATAATTGATGTAGCGCAAAACCTGTCACTGATTTTGAGATGTTTTGTAACAGAAAATATTGCGATAAACAATAACCATTTTAACAGGATAGTCAGTCCTTTTTGTATTATAGTGTAAAGAAAAAGTATTATCTGCAATAATAAAATAAGACAATGAAACACTTAATAATATATATTATAATTAACATCAATCAACAGTCATAGTTATATCATTCACTAGGCTTAAATGTTACTTACAAGAAAAAGTACCCCACTATTGCATAAATATATATATAATTTGTTTATTGCATGATAAGTCAATTATTAATTAATGAATAGAACATAAATGCAGACATATAATATTAAGATATTATTCACCTGTCTGAGTTTCATATGACTGAGCTTGTCTTTAGTGAGAGTCACGTCCCACACACACACCACTGTGCTGCTCCCTGCTGTGATGACTGTGGTTGGATTTGGACAAACTGCACACAGTGTCTCACCCCAGACGCACAACTCTTCAAACACTGCAAAAGTCTACACAAATATATTCAAATTTAAAGTTGTAGTTAAAAATGAATTAATTAAATTGTCCATATAGTATGTACAATACCTTTCCAGAGGAGCAGTTTCCAAAGGTACAGCTGTTGTCAGGGTAGCCCCAACTGAAGTAGCAATTCAGCGCTGATGACAATAAAAGCTTGTTTCTCTCCAGGACCAGAACCTCTTTGTCAACACATATTATCTGCCCAACTGGTCCTTGGGGGAGTTCTGGATTTTAATGTAAAAA